TATATATATTGGATCGTTTGATAAGTTTGGTAAATTTCCATGAAATGGCGCTATAATCCATTTGATGACGCGACATCTCGAAAGATCCTCTTCGAACCCCTTCAGGCCAAATTTCAGCCAGAAAGGACGCATAGTTCACGTTTGGTAGTCATTTGAAGTAGGCTGTCTCAGTCTGCAAAATACTCATTGACGGCAACAATGACTTCCTCATTTGACGAGAATTTCTTCCCACCGAGCCAAGTTTTTAAGTTTGGGAACAGAAAGAAGTCACACGGGGCCAAATCCGGATAATAGAGTGGATGAGGAATCAATTCATAGCCCAATTCGTAGTTTTGTCATTGTCGACTTGTGGGACGGCGCATTGTCTTGATGGAAGAGCACTTTTTTGCGCGCCAATCTCGCTTCAAATGACTACCAAACGTGAATTATGTGTCCTTTCTGGTTGACATTTGGCTTGAAGGGGTTCGAAGAGTGGATCTTTCGAGATGTCGCGTCAAATGGATTGTAGCGCCATTTCATGGAAATTTACCAAACTTATCAAACGATCCATGTATATATATAGCAATTTAGTAATGTATATATATATATATAGCTTGTTCAGATTACAAAGAACAGTATACGTGTCTAACACCGCTTTGTCATATTTTATGATAAATCAATGGAAATTTATCAATAACAAAATGCAAAAAATGTTTGATAACCTCAACGCCAATGATATAAAAGAATTTGGATGTGTTTACCAAACTATCGATCTATTGCAATTCTTTAAGTGAGTACGATTTATTTATACAGGGGAGATCGGGGCAAGTTGTTACACGGAGTAAATTATTACAGTTATTACAGTTAGTTTTTTTAGTTGCTATAGGTGACAGCACATTTTTATGAATTTTTGTATATGATTCTTGTGATACCCTTTACTTAGTTTAGCCGCTATATATTTGAACTCTAGAAGGTACTACATATGTTTTTTTATTTTCACTATTAAAAGTAAATATTTCATTGTATAAATTGCTTGTGTTATTGTACATATAAGTTAAAGTATGTGATTCTTTTGCATATTTCTTTTATATACATTTGATTATAATAACACATTTTGAATCGATATATGTGCTGGTTTTCGATTTGTATTTTTTGGAATTAAAAAATTGAAAGTTGGGACAAGTTATTACACTTCATGGTCAGGGCAAGTTGTCACAGTGCAACAACTTATTCCATTGAAAATAATTTTTTCCTTCTACAGAATGATGCACAGACTTCTATAAATAGATTGTCGACTTTGTCTCCATATTTGAAGTAGCGCCATATTTGTGTTTCATTCTTAAATGTATAAATCACATGGATAATAACATTAATATTTTTTACATAAATTTATGCGATATTTATAGATAGGACGCATATGTGAATTAACATAGCTCGGAATCAGGTTCATCTCTTTCTACCATATTGAATCAACAATCTAGTTAATTATAAAAATCAGTAGAATGGTGCGATTTTACAAAAAAAAGAAAAGAAGGAGGACAAACAGGAGGACTTGTAAATGTAGAAACGTATATTATAGAGGTAAAGAAAGTTAAAGATGACCATCTGTATGTAAGAAAAGCAACAAATGCGTAATATTAATTTTATAGTTTTCCAACTTTAATAACTAATTAAAGAAAACATTATTGTAATAATATCTTTTTTAAATTTCATATAATTTTATAAATTTATAAAATAAATATTCCTTGTGAAATATTTCGTGTTTGATTTCATTGTAATCTTGAATTTGCTATATATTTATATATAGCTATATGCTTATACATATAGTAAATATAACAACTTGTTCCACAATGGGGTATATATAATTTATTTACTGATAGAAAATTTTAATTTTTAGTATTTAAAAATATATGATCTGTTCGATTTGCTTACACTTTTTTACATTTAAAATGAGATAGATATATATTTCGCGCTGAAAAGCGAAGATGCTGAGTGTAAAAAGTGTAAGCAAGTCGAACAGACCTATAGATACAAATCAGAAAAATATTAGCTATCTAGGTAAAGATGTACTTAAAGTAATGCGTAGGTATTCATTAATTTAAATGTATATATTAGTGGAAAAAATTGCTAATCAAAAATTGTAATAACTTGCCCCTGGTTTAAATAAATAATAATAAAGTTCTACTTATCTACATTAATTCTTCATTCACAGAAACGGAATAAGAGGTGCAAAATTATATCTTTTTAATGAAAGCATAGATATGGATAGTATAAAAATAGCTAAACGTCACTATAAAAGGTGAGATCTCTTATTATAAAATAGAAAATAGGTACTTACTAAATAACTTTTTGATTATTCTCAAGTTCGTTTTTTGTCACAAATTTTCTTCATTCAGACACTAATCAAGAAGCACAGCAATGTTTCATGTTATTGACGCATTCTTTACAAATAATTGAAAGTAAAAGATTAGTCGTACTCATTATAAAATTGCAATCACACTGAATATGTGCCACTTAAATATCTTAACATTAAATACACTGCACACGGAACATACAAAATTATGTTATGATAAAATTGAAATTAACGATTAAACTATTAATAGAGATAATTCGAAGTAATAAAAAAATTAATTAGCAAATAGAAAATTAAAGATAGCGCTGCGTAATGTCGCAAAGTTACACACAGTATTGTTTGGTCGATCGTAGTGTTGTCAGCTGGAAATTAGGTCGTAACGTAGAAATAATTCGATAACCGACGAAAACTTTCTTAAATTGTAATGTCAGAACATTTAGAAATTTGTTAATTTTAGTTTTACTCAGAAGAACTATTTGTTTGTTACTTTTCGTCTAGTTGTAGCGCTTAAATGTCTGAACAATTAAATTAAAAGTTTTAAAAATCCTGAGGAATAATATAAATTCTTACATGTCATAATGCTAATCAAATCAATTTGAGGAAAAACTAAAACTGACCGGTATGTTACATATTTTCGATTCAGTCAAGCATAAAATCAATATAACATATATTTTATATGTCGCTCGAATAGTATTATTGCTCTGTGTAACACTTAGATTGGGAAAGAACTGCGAGTTACACTTGATAAGCGCAAACATCTTCAGATATCAAATTTTCAGGTTATAAAAAAATAAATAAATAATAAAATTGATGCTAGCAATTTTAGACGCAAATGTGTAAAAATATAAAAGAACATCCTACTGAAAAAAATCATGTCATATAGTTGAATGACAAAATCATGTAATTAAAACATGTAAATCGCGTAACAGATTGTTCCAAATCAATATGTGATTTTAAAATTATGTATTTTGAAAAGTCATGATAATATGTTGTTCTGCTATAGAGTGTATTACCAAAATCCGCACAAATTTCAATTTAAATTTTTCACTATATTATGCCTCCACCAAGTTGTTCGAGAAAGCCTTATGCTTCTAGTAAATAATCATATTCTCAAAAGGGCCGCAATGTTGAAATCAAGTGCGGAGTATAATCAAAGAGCCGCGATCATTGAAAGTCTTCGCGCTAGGCGCTCAACAACGGAAATAATTCGGTTCTTTGAATATCCGAGATCAATTGTTTATGACGTTGTGGCAAATTATACGGCTTTAAAATCCAACGAAGGTTCCAGTTATGTTAGCGAGGAGTCATTCGAAAGAACGCATTGCGAGGACCCCGCAGTCGTTCAAAGGGTTCAAGCGCTGATTTCAGATGACCCAGGATAATCGTTGCGAAAATTAGCATCGATTGTTGTATAAGCAAGCTAACAATACATCGAATTGCCGAGGATTTTCGATATAAATCGTACACATTAAAGATATGACAGATGGTCTTTGAGGTTGCTAGATCAAACCGAGTTGCTTGTCTCGGCTTCCATTCTGGCCTCCCAACAGCCTAGATTTAAATCCCTTGGACTACTATTTGGAGCGTAATTGAAAGGATCACAAACAAGTCTCGGTATCCCAATGTGACGTCATTAAGGACCACTATTGAGGCAGCATCCGTCTGCATGGACAGCGCTACATTACAACGTGCATACGAACGCTTCAGACCGAGAATAAAGGCTGTTATTCAAGTTAATGCGGGATATATCGAATAATTGTGCTTTACAGAGATCCCCCAAGTGCCATGTAAACGGATTTTTTGTAATATTTAATTTTTCATTAAAAATATTTTGTTTAAAGAAATTGTTCGATTTGTCCAGATTTTGGTGACGCATCCTGTGTATCTATCATTCAATTTTTTAAAATTGAATAATAACTATAATCACATGATGGATGAAATTATTTGTAATATTATGTGATTTTTCAAATTACATTTAAAAGAATCATGCACTGATTTGGAACAATCCGTTATATGATTTACATGTTTTATACGATTTTATCAATGATTGTAACATTGTGACATGATTTTTTCAGCAAGGCAAAGTTAAAATAAACGCAAATACGTTCTGGATTTGAGTTTTCTTCAATGCGGAAATCAAGTACAAATCAATAATTTGCATTTAATTTCATTTGGTACATCCCAATTGATTGTGAACTGTATCTATTACGTATGAATATATAATTACATAGATATTTTACTTGTATTATATTTATTCTTAGAATCACAAATATTACTATTATCTTAATTTTATAATATTATTTTATTTTAATTAAAAAATAAATATATATAATCATCTTTTTTGCAAAGATCACTTCATTTTATTTTATTTATTTGTAAAAATTGTTTAATATCATTTTTTTATAAAAAAAAATTTTATGTAAATTCTGTACAATTTATTTGTAATTATAGTTTATATGTATAATACAATTGCATCATTCATCTTTTTTTAAGTTCACAATACTGTTCTAGCCATTATTATTTATCTTACAAAGCTTTGTTGTATCAATTATGCATATAAAACAATTACAGAAAAGGCCCCTATTACGAGATCATACCAAGTTCATTTTGGGTAAATGCTAGAAATCTAGGCAGAAAGAAATAATAGGTCATTTTGAAGAGAATTTAATAAGCTTAAGATAATGTTACATAAAATTTAATTTAAATTTCATTTTTTTTTTAAATTAAAGAAACGTAAAAAGTGAGAAATCACAAAAAAAATTGTGCTCCTAATATGAGATGCTCCGAAAAATCGATAATAGAACGCAAAGTATATCAGTATTGCAATTAAAAAAACTTTATTTAATGTTAATTTAACAATGTTAATGTTAACTTAATTAATGTTCCTAAAATACAAACAAACAGCCAGCGTGCGCGAAAAATGAACATGCCATAAATTATATTCAGAATTCGTTTTCAGATAGTTGGAATCAAGCATCGCAGTCTATGTTTATAGACACTCGACGTTCCAATTGTCTTTTTTATTATTATACAATAACATTTATACTTTAGCAATGATTTTCACTATGACATAGGAGCATACGTTATTTCATATTAGGAATATCCTGGGTATCTCGTATTACGATTTTCACGCCTTATAATTTTATGATCATCAAATCTAACTTCTGTAATTAAACAATTCAACACAGTCCATATTTTTCTATTACGACCTTACTCTATCACTACTTGAATATATATTTATTGCCAAATATTTATTTATTAAATAATAAATAAGGTTTAAATACTTATCTCAATGAAACTTGAAGATATCCAAATTCTTAAATCTTGTTTTACAATGGTTACAGCCATGATCTAATAATGAATTTTCTACTAAATTTTCCATCTAAGAGTTTTCAATCTAAGAGCAATAATAAATTCATGTGAAATCAAGACAACGTTTATTAATTTAGCAGAAACGCTGTTATTTCATATTAGGCACCTATCTATATAATAGGGGGCTTTCCTCTAATAATATAGTTGATTGTGAGACAAATTCTGCATAAAATTATTATGCATTTTAATGTTCTCGCCACCATTACATTATCAATACATACATTAATATATGCTTTATGTTTTTAAATATAAGAATTTATATTCACTGATGATTACATTTGCATTGTAATTGTATTGCATTTACGCAATCCGATATTTGCATACAGACGTAACTCACGGATTGCAAGATTTATATTTCGTGCTCGTTTTTCATATTTATAATCTAAGCAATTAATAAAAATATCAAATATGAAAGCAGACAAGACCTCTGTTTTAAAGGAGAATTTTGGTTTAAAAGCTTGATTTTTAGATTATTTTCACGAATTTTTTTTGAAAAATTCATAAGATCAAATTAGGGTTGTTTCTACCTATTAGTATATATTTCAAGTATCTTTTAAAAGTATCTTTTTTATTGTAATTTTCCAAGAAATAAGCCTTATATAATAATTTACGTAAAATCATGCAAAAAACACGGTGACCATGATTTTTCAAAATTAGACCAATCGCACTCAAATTTTGTGCACATCTTTAGCGCATATATAGTTATTGTCTGAACTACAATAAAGTCAAAATGTTTATTTTTATTTATTTTACAGCACTTAACGTTAGATAAAAAAAATTCGAAAAAATTGAAAAATTTTCAAAATGATGCCATTTTTTTTCTTTCTAATATTTTTTTTGTCATAGATTAAACGATAGTCAAACTCATATGCTTTAAGAATTTCTTTAGTTTTCAAACGAGCAGAACAGCTGCAATGGTCACCATGTAGCGTCTTTTTTTTCATCATCTTACATAAACTGTTATATAAGGCTTATTTTTAATAAAAAAATTCTAAAAAAATGATTTGGAATATGTAGGAACAATTCTGATTTAAATAGATTTAAATTCTTACGAATTTTTCAGAAAAAATTTCTGAAAATAGCCTAAAAATCAAGCTTCTAAACCAAAATCCCCCTTTAAGCTACTCGCTAATGCTGAAACGAGGAAGCTATTACAGCTTAGAAATAACTTTCAAAAGGTTTAAACAAAACGACCGTGATAATATACATGATAATATACATGATAATAAACTGTATATCAAATTCTTATCACTGTCTTAGCATCATCTATCTATTGCAATGCTGACTCAGCTATTATTAAATATTCCATTAATTTTCCTTGTAAAATACAACGAGAATCTACGTCAACTGATTATAATTAGCGTAATCAGCGTGATTGATACTCTCGGGAATCGCTTGTCTTAACCTTTCCTCTCTTTCAGATTTCCGAATTCGACGAATTCATGTCAATATTCCTCGTGGAAATGCCTTGCAATTAATTTATCTGTGAATCAGACCGTTATATAACAATTATTTTTGAAATTTTCAGCTTTGGATGATTGATTACTTCAATATTTTATTAGAATCTTAAGTATTACTAAAACAAGTTTAAAATAATATTTAACATATTACTTTGATGTTTCAGAATGACTTGGATCGATACAATAATTAAGACACTATTTATTGTGATCATTCTATGGTTTTATCGTAAGAATATATTCTTTTATATTACAAATATATTTTAATATATATATATGTATATATTTATTTATCATTTGTTGATTAACTTATGAAAGAGGATTGTGATTGGGTTATTTTTTATTTGTATTTTATTATAATTAAAGACATAGAGAGAAAATATGATATGAATATATATATTGGGCAATATATAAATTTTAAATAATGTAAATAATATATTAAAATAGTAATAAATATAAATATAGTAATAAACATTTTACTAACTGAAAACAAGGAACCAAATTGGCATCTTCGGTTGTTTTAACAGAATACTCGATTTTGGCGATAATATTAGTTGGCGATAGTTTTAGTATTAAAGACCTGTTTTAACTCTTTAAATAATGTAAAACAGCATATAGGTGGTACACTTAATTTCTTCCGGTTTTTCGTCTCCAAAATTAATTTGTTTTGAAGAAAAGATAAATGAATATTTTAATGAAAGTAATTTCCTCCATTTTCTATTATTTTTTCCTATCTCTCGGCAACAGGATAATTCCACGATAGAACGCGATATCTTTCGAGGCGATCCATTCATTCATCCATTTTTACTTCTTCGTAACTAGAAAAATGTGTGTCCGTAAGTGCGTTAACCGAAAAGAGATTGTAATCCGACAATGCCAAATCTGGAGAATACGCTAGATGCAAGAGGACTTCCCATTCAAGCTCTATAGAAATATCTGCTTTACGTTTTTCGCGATCAAGTGTTATCATGCAATAAAATGACTTTACATTGATTGTTGATTACGGATCTTTTTTGTCTTCAACTTGTTTCTCAATCGGCATAACTGCTGTTAGCGATCAGCTGTAACGGTTTCATTTGGATGCAAGAATTCGTAATATATCCACCCTTCTGGTCCCATCAAATAGAGCAAAATCTTATGACCGTGAATATTCCTCTTCGGCTATTGAAGTGGATGATTGTCTATCTCATCCCTAATTTTCTCCGCTTGGAATTATCAAAATAAATCCATTTCTTATTACCAGTCACGATAAGCCACAAAAAAATTCTTTTTTCTTTGTCTGGCAAGCAAAGAAATCGCGATAGATAGCAAACGATTCGAAAAGGCATTTTCTGACAACTCATGTAATAATCATATACTCTTCCTTATGAATTTTTCCAATGAATGGCATGCAAGCGTTTTGAGACATTGGAGTAACGCTTTCGACAACTCTAAAAGTGTTTGAACTGGATTCTCATCAAGCAATTTTTGCTCGACATCTTCAAATTTTTTTCGACTGTCCGGAACGTTCTTTATCTCCTATGTCAAAATCACTGTTTCGGAAGCGATTAAATCAAGCTCTGCATATTCTTTTCGAAATTTTATTATCATATATTTGGATAATAAGTGTTCGGATAATGCGTTTCAGCTGCGGTTTTTTTGAGGTTAAAGCAATAAAGAAGCACTTGTCGAAAAACAGCTTATCACGGTTCATTTTTAATCGATGGAAAATCTCTTTGGTGTCGAGAAATCTAATCTGCGAGGACTGAATCACTTTCAGCAACATTTAAACAAAAGACATGCCACTTCACTGTTGAAACTCATCAGCGTTGGAGGCGGCATCTTTTAGTGGTAGAAGAGCGGCAGAAATTAAATTCACCACCTAATAATATGTAGTATTTTTTATTGAATTTTAATTATAACTATTTAATTTGTCTATACAGTACAGCTTATTCCAGTAATTTCAGCAACACTACACATTTTAATAATATATTGAAAATATTGAAGTTGTAGCAATATTATTGAAAGCTTCAGTATTGTTCAGGTAATTGTAACTATCTAAGACTCATCAAAAAAATTCTAATAGTTTTATTTCACTATTAATTA